TACAGTTTGTTGTACAGTGTTTTGTACACGGTTTTGTTATCCCCAGAAAACTATTTTCCAGTCCCAAGGGTCGGGAATTTGAGCACAAAATTCAAAAGCCGCACCTCGACTCTTATCCTCCCTCCCATCCCCCTCCGTCCAAACATTGATACCTGCATTGCTAATCCTACTGAAGCTAGTATATATATACGAAAGGATTCTCTTTCGCCGAAGGTGCGATGACACAAAGTTTCGACAGGTATCTCTTGTTTATGATTGTGGAGGAGTCCTTCGTGTCGAGTGACTCTTTCCTCTTTTGCTTCCATAAATAAACGTCTCTAGCTTTAGGAAGAATGAGAATTTTAAATAACTCAAATTAAAGTGTTGACAATGGAGGCAGTTATCACGTCATCAGGAAAATAAAAATACGCCAGTCAGAGTGAAGTTCAGTTTTGTCTACCGTCTACGGAATAATCGAAGCAGCATGTAAAAAAAGTACTGCAACATTTAAGGTAGACTACGAGTAATCCCCATTTTCCGCCAGGGATAGTAGAGCGAGGAAAAGCTAGCGCGCGTGAGATCACCCCACGCGAGAAAGGCGTGGGGTGATTTTCACGAGCGCTCGCGTTTCGCTCGCTCTACTATCCCTGAGGAAAAATGGGGATTACTCGTAGTCTGCGTTTAAGGCGGATTCATTTAAATTGCCGCAGCACAGGCGTTTAGGCGGATAAGCTCGAGCTGTCTCATATAGCTAGCTATACGCAAAGACTGTAAATGAATCCACCAGCTACCTTATCTAAAAAAAAGCTATGACAACAAATAACAAGACCAAAGACTACGGCAACATTCTCCATTTATATAATATTGTGATTGCTACATAAGTTCAGTAACATCTGTAAACCTGAAGAAGGCTGGTATGGCCAGCCGAAATATTGTTATAGAAAACAATATACGTTGTTTTAAATCAGCTTTACAGTAGTCTTTGGACTTCTTGTTCTTGGTTCTTTATATTTTGGCTGATTTGATCTCTTTTCTAGAGATCCAACGTTTACAACTAGTAGGATCTTCGTCCACGGTTTTTGCAGCTAATTTAATCCTTTATGACAACAAACTAGCTAAAAAGCAGGTAAAACAGCGAGTGCGCGGAGTCGCGGACAGTAGAATTTCTTGTTTGCTTGTTATTTTGTTGTTTGTTTGTTTGCAGCCTAGGTCGAACAAAAGAAAATGCTTCTATCATTTGCATGGCATCATTTTAAGCAATGGTTTTTTAGGACTGCTTTTGTATCGTAGAGTTGTTTTTAAACCAATCTTAGTGAAACCTTTTTGGTAATGGGTACATGCAAAGCAAAACCATGAAATCACCTTTCGGTTGTCACGTTATTTTCGTCCGCTTTGTGTTACCGGCACAGCAGTTAAACGTGTGAATGCGTTAGCCTTCCATTGACGCAATAAAAGCTAATAAACTGGTCTCTATCACAACTGTAGTTTTTTATGTACACAGAACACAGTCGCTCTTTCCACGAAATCTTTTCCCGCGCGCTGTCATCATGTTTCCCGCGTTTTCTACTAGTGACGTGAATTCTCCCGCGATAACCAGTGTAACCACTGAGTTTACGTTTTACCAGCAGCTGATCAGTGACATATTTTTCCTGGTGTTTGCTTCTAATGACATGTTTACCAGCCACCAGTGACATGGTTCCCTTGTTTTTCACCACTAATATATATTGACAGCGTTTTGACATTTTTTTGTGTTTTTCACTAGTGACTCCGTGTGTTCCCGCCTTTCCACGCACCTGTGACTTGTTTTCCCGCGTTTTTTACCTGCGTGCTCTATAGCTCTACTTGACCATACTTCCTTATGCTTTTTACCGCTCGACTCTCGTTTGGGCTTCGAGATTTGTTTGGTTTGTACTTAGCTGCGATGGACAAAGTGCAGTGCTCATTCTTAACCCAGTGCTTTTTAGCAAACTTTTCCGCGTACTTTTTTAAAATGTTGTTAGTTCTCGAATGGGAAACAATCGCGCCGGATTTTAGTGTCAGCAGGAGTTTGTCAACAAAAGTTAATGATTTCAAAAAAATCTAATTGAAGAGTCATTATTAAAGAACCTTCAGTCTTTTATGCTTTAACTATATTAAGTAAGTTGGCTATAGCTTCAGGCCAAAACCTTTAAAAGTACAACTTCCCTCGTATTAAATGAATTTTTAAAATACATTTTGTACGTCTGATTTTGAAAGAGCTTTCAAGCAAGTTATTGTTTAGTTTAATACATGGTTTTCAAAAGTGCTTTGTCTCCCAAAAATTGTTGAAGTGGAGATTGCTGTAAAAAGTGACCTTATGTTTGTGGTGGAAGATCGACCCAAGATCGACATCCACGCAATTAAATTTGACAAGAGGAAAGAGTGTGTTTGTTGTCGCTATCATAGAAGTCAATTATAACTCGCTCAATCGTCAATCGGCTTGACAAGTGCATCAAGCCAGAACTGGCAAAAGTTGATTAGCATTCTCTAATTTCAAGAAGAAGGATTGTGTTGTTGTTAATGTAGATGTTTTTCTTGTAAATTTGTGTTTGCACTGCAGCGCTCGTAATAATTCAAGGTCATGCCATGTCTGCGTGGGCAGCAGCTAAACTACTGCAATAGGGTTCGCTTTGAATTAAAACAGACTACGCCCAGAAAGTTGATACGTTTCCTTTTAATGTTTCCCGTGAATGAGTTATCAGAGAGCGGGAAGTTCCTTACATAGTAAAAAAACAATATTTTTTTTGGTATACGCACGCGAAAGGATAACTCTTTTTCATGGACATGAGATTACGGTCATGCTGGTTCTTGACCGCTTCTAAACTAAATCCCAATTTAGTCTTTCGATAGAGAGAGAAAAAGAGGGTGACTTTGGTAGAGTGTTTTTATTTGTGTGACTGATGTACTATTTATATGGCCAGTCACTAAATCATTTCATCCATCAAAGCTCTCGCTTTTACGTCTTGACCCCAAGGCGGTTGTACGTACCTGGCCGAGTGCAAGTGGGTCTTAAATTTAGTGTCCTTAAAATTAAGATAGAGAGATCTGTTAAATGGGTCAAATGAAAAACTCCTCTTAGTCAAAAGCCTGACTCTTGTCTTTGAGTTTTTTTTCTTCAGCCGCAGCTATTAAGAAAATATTCACCCAGCCGCAAATGCGAGATATGCTGATATCACTTTGAAATGTCTGCCGGCGCTCAATAACACTGTCAAAACCTGTCACAGTTTTTTCCGTCGTAGTCTCGTAGAACAATTTATTTCTTTAAACCAATCAGCTTCGGCATTATGTGGATGCTTTTCTTCAACTTCTGTCGAAGCGTGTCGGAATTGTTTTGAAATCTTTGATTCAGTGTCACTCAGCGCTGTACGTAGTGAGCGTTTTGCGTGTTCTAAGTTTCGCCCAGCTCTATTTTTTCGCGCGTGATGCGGCATCAGCACTAATTGGAGTTCATCATTGATGTGGCTTAGTTTACTCAACTGCAATTACACTGGCCTTTTGAGCTCAAGCCGACAAAAATGAGCTCAGGTACAAACAGATGCTCACTATTCTAATGTTTCTCTTCCTTTGAAACTTTCCTAATTGTCGCGAAGAAAGCAGATCCCGTTGAGTTAAAGCGTGCCTCTGTTTTCATCTCAGTGGTATTTTTGGGTCTCAACCTATACTCAAACCAATTGTTCTTCTCTAGGACTCAGGGGAAAGCTGTTTGGTGGAGTGAAAGTTAAAAGAGCTCGCTCATTTTCAGGCAGAGAAAAACAGAAATGGAATCCGACAAAGGACGCCAGAGACGGTAGGTTTGGCAGCTTTGAAATGGGAAGTTTACAACTGAGCTTACGCTTAAGACTTTTTAAAATCTTTCTTTTTCCTACCCTTGCCCAGGATCAATGAGAAGATATTCCGAGTCACATTACTATTTAAACTCCAGTTTAGCTCTTTTCAAGCGTTACAGTTTATAATAATGTTAATTGTTGTGGTTCAGTTCTGTTTCTCTTGAACCATTCGTATTTTAGTTCACAACGGATGTTTAATGATAGAAAATGAGAACGCCCTAGGCAATAAAAATCGTCGCCTTTTGGAGCATTGGGTCTTGGTCTATATTATTTTAGATTTTCAGATTTGGTTTCTAAATCCAAAAATATTCCGATCTGAAGTGGTTCGATTTTCTCGTCACGTACTAAATTTATAATAAAAGTTATTCATCAATGTGACTTGTCTGGCAAGATCACTGGAATGCGGTCTATTTGAACAAAGAGTGTGACACCGAGTTAATGAATTGCGTACCAAACAAAATATATCTGTTTTTCGTGGCAAACGTATCTTTCCCCTTCTCTTAAAATGTTCAACTGTCATAAATCGAGTGGCTAATACTCGAGGTTTTTCTCCTAACCAAACAATTTCTTTGCAGAGTTTTATCTGTCATGTAAAGAGCAGATCCGCGCGTGCTAAGTAAATCGCGCGCGTTTTGCATACGTAGCCAAGCATAGCGAGTGAAGTTTTTTTTCGAGTGCAGCGTGGCTTAACTGTTATTAAAAGCTTATAAGCTTCTTGAGTTCAGTGACCACGGAGCTAAACAGATCTAAAGATACCGTAAACACGAAAGAATAAAACTGTGCTTGGAGGAGGTGCAAGAGAACAATGCTATCTTCAGTATCTTCCAACATCCTTTGTTGGTCCAGTGTTTTCACAGAACAGATTAAAACAATGCAAGCACATAAATCTTTTTCCTCCCTCTTGAAAATTTAGTCTAGCGGTACAGAAGCTACAATGTCGTTTGTCTTGCGTTAAAAAGCGTCACCTTAGTGACCCATCGGAGGTCAGGAATTGTTACTTCAGTGCAAATGTAGCAGCTCGTAAGCGAAAGCACCATATTTTAATGTTCGTCTTTTATATAGGACTTGCGCTGGGTTTTTTTTGACGTGATCAGCAATACCCTAGGTGATATAAATAATACCCGTTAATTGGCTTTAATATTTAACGCCTTGGACGAGTTGTCAATTTCATGTCTATTTCTGCGCATCCAAAATGCATGTTTTTGTTCCACGGCAACTACTGTCGCGAGATTTTTTTTTATCAGATTAAGATATCACGAAGACAATACCGGGCCACTAGGCAAGTTTGGTTGAAATTGTTCGTTGCATAGATTGATTTGTTTGACCACATGAGCCTTGCATAAATATTGTAGCCAAGCGTGTGTCCAGTGCTGTAACACAATTCTCAGTTCTCTTATTGCGCGGGGGTTGATAGCCCGCGCGACCCATTAGTTTTGAAAATGGCTGCCCAAAAGACGCCGGGGTGATGTGGACGTTCTCAAGTGATGGGAGATAGCCAGACGTTCCTTGTACGCTACACTAAAAGGCAAAAATGTAAGTGACATGCATCGAACTTCATCTCACGTAATTATTTTTAAGTGAACGAGGAAACAGCGTTTCGTGGCAGCTGTTTATGTTGAGTAACTCACGCTAGTGGTGTTCTGTAAGTAATGTTCAATCGTAAGATTCTCGCGCCAAAAAGATCGTTCCAATTTCGCTCTGTGTTCATAAGGATGCAATTAAAAGTGTTCCATTATCAATTTTCGATGTCTTAAGCTCATAAAAACGTCAAAAAATACAAGTGTAATCTTGCATGTTCATGAAATATTTCATAAAGCTTCCTAAGCGGGATATATTAAGCTGATATTTTTGTGGATGGAGTTGTTTATTTGATGTTTCTGAGGTCAAACTTGATATAGCTTAGTTTTCGATTTCAATAATTGAGATGCGTAAAAGATTCGTTTCTACCTGTAGTAGTTTGGCAGTTGTTTAACCATGAGTACGGTCTCTATAATCTAAGCCCTCCTTTCAACACAACGGTCACCAAGATCTAACGTTGAAAATTGCTGTTTCATTGGAATAAGGTTTTATTTACTCATGGCTAGACTAAACGTCGTTGTGTAAGCGTATTTACTGTATAAGTACGTTCTACCTCAAAACTTTCCAAATTACGTTATCCCATGAAATCGCTTTACCCGGACCATTCTTCACATTTCAACATAAGACCTAAGCTTACAAATATTTTGTCAATAGATTTTGATTGCAATATAATCCGAAAAGTAACATTATATTTCGCCTGTAAAAAACCATCAGCTTTTATATTTGCATATTTAAAGAATACAAAACAATTCTCGTTCAGAATATGCAGTTGCGTTCGATCAATACCTTGAACCTTGATTTTTGTATTGTCGTGCCATTGATGAGGCCGCCATTGATGTAAATTTCACTCGCACATCGTGTACAAGTCTTGTCAATTTTTTATGGCTGTTGTTTTGTTTTGAAAATTTTTGGAGGCTAGTTGTTTTTACATAGATGTGTTATTCAAAGTCTTTTTATAAACCAGCCCCTTCGAGAAGACAGGTTTTTGGAAATGAGAATTTGACGGAATCATATCGATACGTGGTTGATTGTTGAAAGCGCAGTGGCGAAGTGTGACTTACATTTGGATCACTATTGTGGTTAGAAATTTTTCGTTTTGGGTCCTTAGTCACTCGATGAAGCGAATTCAATTCGATAACCAACTTAATTGCAGATTCTTTGAATTTTATCCTGATAATTATATGTTTCATTCTTGATTCTTGTCTGGTCTGCAATCGCTGTTGGAGAAGGAAGTGCAAATATGACTCTCNTAATCTAAGCCCTCCTTTCAACACAACGGTCACCAAGATCTAACGTTGAAAATTGCTGTTTCACTGGAATAAGGTTTTATTTACTCATGGCTAGACTAAACGTCGTTGTGTAAGCTTATTTACTGTATAAGTACGTTCTACCTAAAAACTTCCCAAATTACGTTATCCCATGAAATCGCTTTACCCAGACCATTCTTCACATTTCAACATAAGACTTAAGCTTACAAATATTTTGTCAATAGATTTTGATTGCAATATAATCCGAAAAGTAACATTATATTTCGCCTGTAAAAAACCATCAGCTTTTATATTTGCATATTTAAAGAATACAAAACAATTCTCGTTCAGAATATGCAGTTGCGTTCGATCAATACCTTGAACCTTGATTTTTGTATTGTCGTGCCATTGATGAGGCCGCCATTGATGTAAATTTCACTCGCACATCGTGTACAAGTCTTGTCAATTTTTTATGGCTGTTGTTTTGTTTTGAAAATTTTTGGAGGCTAGTTGTTTTTACATAGATGTGTTATTCAAAGTCTTTTTATAAACCAGCCCCTTCGAGAAGACAGGTTTTTGGAAATGAGAATTTGACGGAATCATATCGATACGTGGTTGATTGTTGAAAGCGCAGTGGCGAAGTGTGACTTACATTTGGATCACTATTGTGGTTAGAAATTTTTCGTTTTGGGTCCTTAGTCACTCGATGAAGCGAATTCAATTCGATAACCAACTTAATTGCAGATTCTTTGAATTTTATCCTGATAATTATATGTTTCATTCTTGATTCTTGTCTGGTCTGCAATCGCTGTTGGAGAAGGAAGTGCAAATATGACTCTCGGGACTTTAGTAGTTCTAAGGTCTGAACAGATGTAGACTGATTTATGATCTTTTTGCTAGCTTTTTTACACCCACGAGTCAATGGTAAAGGTAGTTTACATGTTTGGAACAAACCGCGTACATTAGGTTGCAAGTTTCATGTTTGTTTCAACTCATAATTGAATTTAGGCACCTTCTTTTGTCAGAAAACGATAGAAATCTTGTACAAGTAAAAACAACTATCGCCACAGGGGAGCATACGCTTTCTTTATATTTCCAAAGCACTGATTTTGTGTTTCTTTATGAAACAATGGGTTAGCATGTATTAATTTTTCACAAAATTTTTATCACGGCTTACCAGTAAGTTTCAAAAGGTTTCTCTCTTTATTGAAACAAATTTGACTGAGGTCATTTCCAGAATTCTCAAAAAGTGGAATTTAAAATTCCACTTTTTTGGAATTTAAAATTCCACTTTTTTGTGGTTGCAATATAGTGCAAAGTAAACACGGAAAAGGACTGATTCTTCATGTGATATTTTGTCTGAGGTATGCACATAAGTAGCCACAAATCTTAATTTTAATTTTTTCTCACCCTTGATTGAAAATTGAATCTGTTTATTTTGTTATATCATACCAACGTCTTCCCAGTTATATCATACTTGTTTTTTTTTTTGCATTTCAAGCAATTTGTGTAAATATATGAAGGTGAATATGAAGAAACTGAACAACAATGTTCCAAGAACTTGGTTATTGTCCTTGCATACACCAACAAATTTTCTTAGTGCTCTAAGCAATTTCCAAGCATTGTTTTCTGTCACGTATTTCAAGATGAAAGCCTTGATCACAACCATCATAATAGTGTATAGGTCTGTGACCCTTTTAAAACTGTCTCAGAATTGGAAGGACTGATGACATCTGTCAACTTTGCTTAGTATGTGATATTTAAGAACAATCATCTGTGGCTTTTTTTGGCTCAAGAGATGTTTATAATGTTGTGACACACAGACCACACTGTGTGATTATAAATTGTCTCTGATCTTTTCCAGCTTGTTTGGTTGTTTAAGTGTTTTGTGGTTGGTAAGCATTTTAGCCTCTGTCATCATTCCTAGCCATGGGGCTTTGTATGGAGATGAGAGTTCATTTTTTTCAGTTAGTCCATGCTTTTCCAACTAGAAGTGACAAGAGGCAGCAGATGTATTCTTAGGCAAAGAAGGGCCATGATAACTATTGTGTGTAGAGTTACTTCAGCCACTAGGCTTAATTTAGACATTTTAAGAACAGAAAGATGATCTGCAATCCTAAAGGATATCAGCAGAGGCTAAGTTTCTCTCTATTTTGGGTAAACTTGACAATTATTGCCATGGAAACCATTGCTCTGCTACATTTTGTTAGTTTTTTGTCATCATTGCACCCTTTTTTGCCAATTTTTAGACCTAATGACTGCTTGTTTTTGATTTTTTTTAATGGGCAAACTGGTAACCAAAACTCAGTATTGGTAAATTTCACTCAGGAATCACTTTTTACCACTTCCACAAACCAGTCATAGTTGCTGTGAATTGACCATGAAAGCCTGAAACAGGAGTCAAAGATGGGTTTGAAGAAATGGAACATGAATTTCTGTGAAGAATGTTCTGACTAGGAAAACAGGAGTAACTTCTCGGACACTCTGTTACTTCCGGAAACTTTCCACTGTAATGACCTGAAAAGTCTTGTTCTATTTACTTTCCAACTGGAATTTCAGGAAACTTTTTGAAAATGATGAACCACTAGTTTATTAGCAACCACACTTGCAACCTGTCACTTGACTCACTACATTAGTTTTATTCTGATAGTTAGATTGCTAAAAATAGGAGCAACTAAAATGTAAGATGCAGATTCTGATCTTCCAAAAAAGAATCTACACATTTCTCTTCAAATTCCATGTTGACTGGAACTATGGATGACCCCTTTGACACTTAATGTATTTTAATTTTATCATCATCTTTTTGTAGTGTGTAATCATTTATGAGCCATGTGCCAGCCACTACTCTGAAGAAGTCAAAAGTTGAGACCCTAACCACTTAAAGTGTAAACTGCTGATAAAATGCTTAATTCCTGCTTTACTTATGGTCACCCAGATCAATTGTACAGGGTGGATTAATACAACCATCACAATTTCTGTAGGAACGTCTTATCATTAAATTTTTGGAATTAGTTTTTGTTTCCTTATGGGACATTGCGATAAAAATGTGTACTAATTTTGATTAGTTACCTCATTGCTACTTAATTTCGTGGGTACTTATTTTCATGATTTTGGCAATACAGTATTTCACAGGGTTTTATTTTCTCAATTTAATTTAAATATAGAAAAAGTGAAAGAGGGCATTAAATTTTGCAGGTTAAGTGTTTTAATTTTAAAGTTTTGTGGATAAACTGGAACAAGCAAAATGCATTTAATTTTTTTTGTACAAATCAAGTGATTCAGATGAACCTGATAGCTAAATTCCCTACTTGATATGTGAAATCTTTGCACTGAATTTAATGATATTTCACAACAGAAGATATAGAATAGAGTTGAAAGTATAATCATAACTATAACAAAATTCTTAAATCTGATTGGCTATCAACTGCCCTGATTTCAGCCTTAATAGGACAGTTAAATAGGACAGTACGCGTCATGCCTAAGTAACTGGACAGTACACGCCATCACGCGCGTGCTTAAATGGCTTTTTTTTTCACTAGTAGCAAAAAAATCTCGGAATTTCTTGTGCTTTGATTAAAAAAAAGAGCATAATATATCACAAATTTTGTTAAAGTTATGATTAATTGGTAACAGAACTTCGTGTCGTCCGATTCGGTCTGTAATCATACTCGTGATTAAACAAATCGGTTTGTTAATCACTCGTATGATTACAGACCGAATTGGACTCCACTCAGTCCTGTTACCATTACAAATCAGTCAATACTATGTTGGTAGTTGTCGATACATATCCTGTATTAAGTATATGTTGTTTTTTTAAATTAATCATCTTTTCTCTCTGATTTGAAATTTCTGTATGGGTATTCAATTTTGCGAGGATTATTATTTACAAAAAACATGGAATTGAAGACCAATGGTGAATGAATTGACAGTGGGTAATTAGGAAGTTGTTTGCTTTCTGCTCTAATCTTCATGGCTGTTCCTTTTTCCTGTTCTTCTTATCTCACATTCCTTCTGTTAGTGGTGTGGTATTTTGTTAAAGAAAGATAAGAACTACTACAACATGTACATATATATTTCAACTCTAGTGGGACAAATGTTCTGCATAACAAAACAAGGCGAGTTAAAAAAAGAAATGTAAAACCGTCCTTCCCAATCATTTGTTAAACTAATCATAAGGTTACTACGGTGGCCACATGTCATGTCATAACTCACCATTTCACCCCTAGACTCAGTGATGAGATATAAAAAATTTTGTTCCAGTTTTTCAGTCTGTTGTTGAAATCCTATGATCTGATCACAGCTATCCAATTGACTACCATTGAGTAATAACCATTATTAACAATTAATAATATTCACGATAAGGTGATTCTCCATATTAAAATTTTTGACTTTGGGTTAAATGTATTCAGACTACCTGTGTAGACTGCATTTAAGAGGGGTAAAGGTTAACAACTTTTTCACAGGTTTATGTAATTATTCCTATAATGTGCTGCTTTGAAAAGAAATCAACTACATGGATCGCTTTTAACACTGATAGCAGCACTGATAGCCTTGTGTCTCTAATATTGTTGTCAGCTTCTTAAACCTGTTTTTTGGATACCTAATTGGCAGTTAATTTTTTTTGATAACCTACATATCAATCCTCACTGGTGGGACCCTTGCTTGTATAAAGGACCATTTTGCAGAAAATCGTGGAAGAAATCATGGTGTCTGTTTAATTCAGTTACTGAGTGGTAATATTGATGATTCCCGTATTAAGGTGTAACAAGGAATTAGGAAAATCAAATCATCATTCAGGGCTGTTACCAAGATTTCAAGTTGCAGGGTAAATACAACGAGTAGCCAGGGAATCAAACAGCTAAGGATTTCTTTTGGTTGTATTTTTCTTCCATTTTCCTATGAACTTTCATGGTAGCTGGGGGAAATCCCTGGCCCCTGCCTCTTAGTGACAGCCCTGATCAGAAAAATGATCACTCAACTTGGTGATGGCGATCAGTAATTCATTATAAAGTTATTACATTTTATTGACACATTTGTTTTTTTTTTTTTTGAATATTATTTTGCTCAAGACGTTTTCAAAGAGAATTAAATAATGGCTGAATGACTGACTAAGGTTTTTTATGTAGTAGAATCTATTGTTGTTTAAACCTCCTGGGAAAATTGTAAAAATCAGGGATAACGACAGTATCACTTTTTGAATTGGCTGAGGAAGGGAAAATTACTTTTGGTGTGAACAATTAAGGGCATGTACTACCATGGATATGTATCTTTGTTGTTAAAATAATGTGAACTAAAATACTTTCAGCACAAATTTAAAAGGTACTCAAATGAACTTAACACTGATAAAAAAGTTTTAAAAAAATACGGTAGTTAAAAAATAATAAAAATACAGTAATATAAAAAATTAACACACATTGTAAAAATTTATTAATACCAAGAGTGACGCTACTTCCTGTCATAGAGTCTCATCATCTATTTTGTCAATATGAGTTATACAATTTTATTCACAAATTCATTTAATTTTCCTGAATATTTTCACCATCAAGGAAGCCAATGGTATCCTTTTTATGTTTTTTATTTTTATTTTGATAAATTATCAAGATGTCTCATGTGAAATTGCCAAGAGTAACCCCCTGGTTTTTGCACTAAGAAATAATCTGCGGTAATACGCCTTGAAATGTTTTCTTTACCAAGTGGAAACTTGATCTTGGAAACATATCATAAACGATTACATCTTGGTCAGCAGTTCTTTTTTTTTCACCCACTCAATTTTTTTTTAACAAAAAAAAAACAATGCAAAAAAATACATTACGCTTATGTTTCTGATTAAGATTAAAAGTTGTTTGGACATAAAATATTTAAAAGAATGCAAATGCCTTATGCCATCAGTCATTTTATATTGATTTTAAACATTTGAAAAAAAGAAAGCATGAGGTTTCAATCAATAATAAATGACCTCAAACTTGTGGTAATAGTAAGACTGTTCCCATTTCTGACTTTTTATTTATTAACTATTAACACAGTATACAATTCTAGTCTCTAAAGAGGGCAGCATTCCTCAACTTTAAATATCGACTTTCAAATTTAAGTCTGAACGAATACTCTGACAAGATCAAAATAGATAGCAAAGCATTTAATGATAGCCACACTGTCTGATTGGTTTTTGTTTCCTTTTCTGAAATGAAAGGTTTAAAAGCATCTTAGTATAAATAATTTTAAAACAAATTTTCCTTAATTGGTTACTAGACAATGTCACAAGAAATAATAATAAATCATAATTTTTTTGCAATTTTAATCACTTCAATTAAAACTGTTCCTTTATTGTTCAGTACTTGTATTATTTAGAAGCTTTCAAGAATGAAGCATCAAACATGTCACATCACATGGCATCCTCAGAAATAGCTTTGCCATTGTTGCTGAGAGAAGAGGACAAAAAAACTCTTAGTTTGACATCAATCTACAATAGCTCCCTAGACTTTGGTCTCTGTGCATTTGTCATAATTCACTTGACATTTATTTTCAAGCCTGAATAATTTTATAATCCTATGTTCAGTCAAAGAGCATGCCACGGATAAATTGCAAGATGATCACTGTTTGATATTACCTTTTTCTGTTCTAGACACAGCCACTACTGTCAGTGACTCCGAAGCAAAAGGCCATGGGCGTAGGCCAAGAAGGCGAACCACAGGAGGGTCAGATATGGGGGACGATGTGGAGAAGGCAAAGAGGTCACAACAAGAGCAGGGTCATTCCAGCGAGCAGGACACTCATGCTACGCAGACACTGTCACGGCAGGAGATTATCTCCATGGTGAAGAAACGGTTTGGGTTGAAACCTGGTGGAGAGATTGAAAAAAAACCAAATGGAATCCAAGAGGATACACCAGTAAGAATTTAGTTATTTTCTGTAGTAACTAAAGGAATCTTTCATTTTTGGTGCCACTGGAAAAATGAGAGCAGCAGAAATATTCTGTTTTACTCATTACCATAAAATATTGTTTTGTCTTTTAGACAAGACTCTGCTATAACATCGCCTCACTTTATTCAATGTTTTGGTAGCATATTTACTAGAAAGTAATATTATTTTGAACCCTAACCAAATATACCATGGGTGGCTTGAAAATAGGATCAGTATTAAAGAAGGAAAGAAGGCAGCAGTCTCTCCCGCTAGATGGGGTTTCCTTAAAGCTGGCTAAATAAATATTTGCTAGATTTTAGGACTTAAGGCATTATGTTTTTTATGTGATGGGCTTGAGCTTTTTTTCTATGATAGTCCTTATGGTCAAATTAAATGTAACAGTAGGAGAATTTTGTCTGCTTACAACTAAACAAAAACTATAACTTAGAATTTAAAATGCAGTACACTCTAGGTTGCCTTAAAAAACAAGTACAAACATTTTCTCTTCCTTACTCTTTTGAAGTATAGTTTTCTCAATCATTACCATTGCACTTGAATTTTAATCTTGTCCTAGAAATGTAGCCCCAGCCTTGTCAACATTATTTTAGCTGTTATAAGTAAAATGCAGAAAATGTTTAGGTTTAGGTTCAAGGTACAAATACTACTGGTTAATAAATAAAGTAGGTGATTTATTATCAAGAACTTGCTCTTGTAATTTTTTTATGTTAAAGAGGAGATCAGTATTTCTGATCCATTTGTTGACATAAGACAAAAATCTGTGAATGAAATTTATCCCTTTAATTCTCAGGTTAAGTTACCTCACTGTGGCTACCGGTATTATTGTTCCTGATTCCTAGCTTTTGCCAGTTTGGGTTACCCTTCTTTAAAAATAGTGTGGAACCTAGAAATCTCAATTTTTTTAACGCAGGTTTTTCTATTACAGAACTGAATTTAAAAAATAGGAGAAGATAAACCAGCACCACAGGAAAGAACTGGCCCTCACATATAAACCACATATTGAGATTTATGTCCAAGGGTCAGGAAGGAAGCTCCACAAAAAAAATTTAAAAATTGAAAATTTGAGAACATGATCACAAATTAGTGAATAGCTGCTTGAAAGTTATAACCCTCCCTTATCTTGATTTTTTACTTCAGAGTGTCTTAGTTTTGCATGGAGTTAATAATATTTTAATCCCCTTTTTTATTTTGACTGATGAAAGTAATCTCTTGCATGTGAACACCTTCTATGGATTTCACAGTGGTAAATAGCTGCCCTGAACGGGCCATTCCATGGTGTGATAAGCTCTGCACTGCATGGGAAGGTATAAGTTAGTGATGGTGACATGCAAATTTCTACATTTCAATTTGAAATCTGCAAAGGCTGCTGAAACAGTTGACTATTTGACTTCTCTGTAATGGCATATAGAGTAACAATACAGATGTATAAGATTAGGGTACGTTCTTTGCGTAAGTTGTATTATTATTAACTCAAGATTGTTGAATGAGCATTTATCTGTGGACTAGATTTCACTACTGACAAAAAGCTGTTTGACAATGAAATTCTGTTTGGGGTTGATTTGAACTTAAAAGGGTAATGCTTAACTTGAATTTTTCTCATTTGTTGATTTGCAGACATTAGGAAAAGAAATAATCATCTTTCAGCAGTGCAAAAGAGTTGATCACAAAGCTTTTTCCATAATGTTCTGTCTAGGACCAGGAAAGAAATGTTTCAGAGTCTTCAAATAATAATTATTTAAGGTCTACTTAAGTTGTCTCTTTCTCTGGTTGACAGAATAATTTATTGTAACCCTATATTCACAGTCTTTGCTGATAAACATTTATACGTTAACATGTTTTCTTCACTTTCTGGTTGTTGGCACCTTTTACTGTATGTTGTAATAGATGCCATGCTGCCTCAGGTGAAATCTGTCAGAACTGATTCCTCTGAATGTTTTTGTATCAATTTCTCTTTTTTAAAGAACTTTTGTTCCTGTCATGTTTACCTTTGAGTTATCACTTTTTATTTTTTCTTTTTGATATTTCCCCAGCCAGCTATTCCACCACGTCCTGTGACATCATCTCCCAAACAGCAAAGATATGAGCTGTTGTTGGACAAACCAGGGACCTACCCAACAATGCCACGAAAAGAAGAGAACCATGTACCACACTCTAACTCAACTCCAGGTAATAAATGTTAATGTTCAATGGTGTACAGAAAAAAACAAGATAAAACATGCCTCCTTGCCAAACATCAGCATGTTAGTACAAATTGGCAGTGAGATACTGTGATAATTTAATGTCTGTATGTAATATTTACTTTGTTATGCTCTGATGACTTCATCCCATTCCTTCTAAAATTGACCTGGATCACAATGTTTATAACAAGCACTTTCTGCAATCATTTCCATGATTAAAGTAGGGAAGGGGTCGAGATGGGTGTCAACTCCAGTCTCACATTCACTCAAACTATGAAATGGCATATTACATGAAGTTAAGTGAAATTCAACGCAGTTAACACCAAGGAGGACAGTCTCATTTGTTGGTCAGGAGGCAGTGTGGTGGTGTAAGATCTGTCAGCCTCACTTGCATTAGCTAGGGGCTAGCTTTGCCAAAAGTAGAAACCCCTGAACATCCCAGACTCCCTCTTCGACTTAGCGACGCAGTTGTCAACTTTTCCGTGTCAAGTGCATTGATAATGATGTCAAATGATTCACTCAGTCTTATTTACAACCAGTTATTCAACATAGCTCTCTTTTTAATTATTTTTTACCATTTTTTTCCAGGGGTCGTATATTTACAGTATGGGGATGAGATCAAACGTGCTATGTTACCAGCAGGCCTGCAAGACATGTCACAAGTACAAACATTGTTTGCACAAACATTCCCAGACAAGGTTAAGAGAAGTGGAGACAACCGTAAAACGATCTACATCAAGGACAATTCCTGTGGAGTCTTTTATGAACTGGACAGTGTTGGGTAATTATCTGTTCCCTTGTACCTTTTTTACAGTTAAGCCAAGTCAAGCGTACTCCCCAGGATTCCATTGATGAATTTATTGTTTATTTGAATGATAAATCCATCATTCATTCATTGCCGCAACCAATCAAATTTAAATGCGCATTCCTGCATGTGTAATAAGCAGTGAATTTTTTGCTTTAACGTGTCTGTATTCTGTCTGATTGAAAAATCTTTGAATGGATAAAACTGCTTTGAGGACATTTACAAGAAAATGGGCGGTGGTCATGCTCATAGTAGCCAGGGGGAATCCCCAGTGCCTGGCCCTNAGTTGTCAACTTTTCCGTGTCAAGTGCATTGATAATGATGTCAAGTGATTCACTCAGTCTTATTTACAACCAGTTATTCAACATAGCTCTCTTTTTAATTATTTTTTACCATTTTTTTCCAGGGGTCGTATATTTACAGTATGGGGATGAGATCAAACGTGCTATGTTACCAGCAGGCCTGCAAGATATGTCACAAGTACAAACATTGTTTGCGCAAACATTCCCAGACAAGGTTAAGAGAAGTGGAGACAACCGTAAAACGATCTACATCAAGGACAATTCCTGTGGAGTCTTTTATGAACTGGACAGTGTTGGGTAATTATCTGTTCCCTTGTACCTTTTTTACAGTTAAGCCAAGTCAAGCATACTCCCCAGGATTCCATTGATGAATTGTTTATTTGAATGATAAATCCATCATTCATTAATTGCCGCAACCAATCAAATTTAAATCCGCATTCCTACATGTAGAAGAAGCAGTGAATTTTGTGCTTTAACCTGTCTGTATTCTGTCTGATTGAAAAATCTTTGAATGGATAAAACTGCTTTGAGGACATTTACAAGAAAATGGGCGGTGGTCATGCTCATAGTAGCCAGGGGGGGAATCCCCAGCGCCTGGCCCTTAGTGACGGCCCTGTTCCTTACTCTATAGCATGGTTCACTCAGGTCTTGAAAAGTCCTTGAAAAAGCATCATATCCTTGAAAAGTCCTTGAAAAATGAAAAATTGTGCGATATCCTTAAAAATTCCTTGAATTTTCCACAGAAGTCCTTGAATATTTTTCAAAGCTCCTTGAATAAAAATAATGTTTGTTAAAAATATAATGTTTTGTGCAAAGGAATGATTGAATGCACAGCAATACACAAATTTTCTTGGTGACCATGCATGAGGAAAAGTGTTTTCTTCCCGGCATACTTCATTTTCTGTTATTTGAAGTACCTTAGGAACCGTGCCTTAATGAAGGAAGGTATTGCAATAAGTGAACCCCCCACCACCTCCACTTCATGTTATTGGGCAAAAGAAGTCCTTGAAAAAATAATGTTAGTCCTTGAAAAGTCCTTGAACCATGTACACGAGCACTTTCTGTACTTAGTAATGACTTCAGTCAAGAATTTCAAGACCTAAAACAGCAATATCATAGTGGCATAGCCTCTCTAAAGTTTTGTCTTTGTCTTTCTGTAGTACTACCTGCCTTGTTCCTTTCTTTTTCAGTGACTTGTCAAACAAATCACATCTTAAGGTCCTGGAGTCCCGACCATTCCAGAACGGCCCAGTCTCACATCCTGTAAGCAGCCCCACAGCGGTCCACACAGGTGCTCAAGTAACAAGCACACCCCTCCCCAACCACAGTTTTGTCCCCCCTGCTAATGCCATTCACAGTGGTGGTGGCAACATCAAGTATAGTCGCACAACCACAGTAACACGACAATCTAGTGGAGGCCCAAGAATAACGACGGTAACAAGAGTGGTAAATAATGGTGAAAAAGAAAATTCGGCAACACACACTACAGCATCCGATCAGGAAGGGATGTCCCTGATGGACAAAAAGAAAGTTCCACTTCCGGGACTTGGTACAACGTTAAACCCAAGAAGGTATTGACATAATTATTGTAGTGTTTTATCTTATAGTTTTCACAAAGTGAAAATACTTTGAGGCAGCATGACATTATTTGTTTCTAATTATTTGAGTAGAGTGCCTGTTAACTCTAGCTGGATAAGCTAAGTGCACTTTCCACTATAAACAAACCTTTAACCTCTACCCTTTGTTAACCTTTTTATGGCCGAGTGGTTAGAGTGCTAGACTTGTAATCTGGAGGCTCAGAATTCAAATCCCCCCATTACCGCTTGAGCTGGATTTGTTTTTGGTTGTCCTGCATTCATATCCTCAGCCGCGCTTGTAAAATGATCAACTGGCTCACCCCCTACCAGTTAAGATTCTTAACCTAATTGAACAATATATGCATTTGTTTTATTATCCCTGAAAAGCTTCGTAAGGGGAGAGGATGATTAACTATTTATAACTTTTATTATTATTACTATCACTATCGTATTAGGGCCTCATGGGAGGTACTATATTTAGGAATGTTTGGGTGCCACTGAGACCCCGGAAGCCTTTAATAAGACGTTACCAGACCGAGCTAGTTTGGCTTAATGTTGTCACCCTAAACTAGAATAAACCTCCAAAATCTCTCTGTATCCTAGAGTCGCCATTTTTCAGAAATTTCTAAGGTCGACACTTTCTTAGCTGTTAAACTGAGTTGTAATTTTATATTTTTGAGTGTCAATTCTCAGTTTCCCCATTTAATTGTAGACTAAAATCTTCAAGTTTCAAGTCGCGACCATTTTAGTCGCCATGGCGTCTAAAATTTTGAAGCTGGCGACTTGATTTGTAAAAAAGTCTCCCTAAACCAAAAGAATTGGTCACCAAATCCAAGCAAAAACTTTAACTTGAAGGTTTGATGACATTCCCTCCTACCCCGCGTATTTGGGTTTTTGCAAATGAACAGAAGTCAGGATCTCTCATGCAGAAGGCTATGCACAATTTTGAATTATAATATATTTATTTGGTTATTTGACTTATTTACTTTTATTCAACTTATGCATATGTACATATATGTATATATATATTTTATTTTAGCTTTTATTACAGTTGATGTGATGTCTTACAAGATTTTATCAACTTAATGATAGATGTAGATGTAGATGCACAAACCAAATGTGCTAATCATTACTCCTAACTTGAAGTATCTCACCTCCATTTCAGACCGTCTCGTGACCCAGTCGAGGATCAACTTGACAGTCTTACCAACATGCTACAAGATGCACTCAAAACAGGCAGCTATGAAAGTTTACCCAGTAAAAGCACAGAAGAAAGCCCATCCAGCTCTCAGGGCAGTTTTATTGATCATGGTCCCACTGCAGAAGGTAATGAACCAACTCAGTTGCAGATGTTTAGGTCGCGGGTCAGAAGCGATTCAGGAAACGAGTCCCTGTTGTCTGATGTTAGCCCAACTCCGTCAGTAGAAGGTACACTGCTGTCTGTTTTAGTAACAACGTGGAAGAGACTTCTGCTTTAAACTGCAAATTTTTGCTCAATGAAATCTTGCTTTAAAACTGACTTACTGCTTAAGTTGTGCCTTTGCTTGCTATTATTAATAGAAAGAATAGGTCCAGTAGAGATCAGAATCATCACTTCTCTTGCATGTGCCTACAGGTTTTAAGCAGATGGGCAGTGGAAGAATGTCAAATTAAATACTGAATATCAGTGTTTGCCAAGTCATGAACTGGATCATTATTTCAGTGATTTCTGAGTGCAAGGTCAACAGAAAGCAAAAGCCTACAAATGCAGACTTAGTGTAACTTTTTTTGGCTCTTGGAAAGTAATGGTACCTAGATAAACACCCAATGCTTTTTCATCATGACTGTCTGTGCTTAAATCTTATACAGTGGTCTACTGCATAGTGCATATTGTCATCTCTTATCTGAGACAGAGTTTGATTATGTTGCTCAGTTTTATTACACCACTCCACAGGTAAACCTAAACACATTCCCGCCCCTCCCCCCAGAGCATCTAGTCATACAGTATCCAGAGAGTCATCTATAAAATACAGTCAGACCCTACAACGAGATTCTCCCAGAGGAGCAAAACGAGACATCAGTCAGCAGTACCACACACAAACACTTCCATTGCCATCATCAAAGCCAAAGCGATCATTAACAGACAGCCCAACACCTTTGTCATCGAGTAGTTCCTCTACTTCTGGAAGCCATGCTTCTGTCAAATATGAAGGTTTGTTCATATGATGTTTGGATTGTGTAGAAGGCAGTGTTTGGTCTGATTTGGAAAAGCTGGTTCTGATTCGTTTCTATGCAATCATTGTTGTTTTTGGTGGTCCAAGCCACCATTTGTTGGTGAATAAATCTTGAAAAATATACGGCGATGGCTACAAAATTGTTACTTAAAAAGTGAATTTGTGCTGCCTCAAAGTTTATCGCACTTATTCCATCTCGTACAATTGGTCAAATGTTGGTGAATTTTTCTGGAGCTGAATTCTAAAGGACTGTATCAAAAAGTTCAGGAAAAGAAAAGGAAAGTTGTTGTCTTGTGTTCCTGTCCTTGACAAAATGTGAAATTAGTACTGTTGTAGTATTAGTTTTCATCTCTGCATTCCTGTGTGCACAATAAGCAGTGAATTCACACGCAAAGTAGTTACGAAGCTCAGATTTTGTGATCATGAATTCTGATGTAAATGTCTTCAAAGTATCATTTTGTCCATTTAATGAAATTTCAACTGCACCAAATACAGAGAAGTTATCGTAAAAATTCACTGGTCTTTATGCATGCAGGAATGGAGATTTGAATTTGACACTAGCTGCAGCAACAGTGAAAGGATTCAACTTTTGAACAATAAAATTAATTCATTAATGGAATCCTGGAGAGTATGCTTGACCAGGCGTGACTATAAAATCCTATGGATATCAATTGTACATTGAATCAATACCAGCAGTTGCTACTTGCATATGTAGTCATTATTTTTGTCCCAGAACAACTAACAATAATCATATATTACGCTTTATTTTGTTGAAGGTAACATGAAAGAGAGAAAGACGCTTGAGATCCGAGCATCCACACTGCGTGGGGAAATGAGGAAGTTAAGAGCTGAACTTAACCAACTAAAGCAGTTTCAGACCTTTCAAGCAGAGCAATTTGGAGAGATGATCAGAAATGCTAAAGAGCAAATAGTGCATCACTTGACACGAACACAAAATGGTAAGAAGAGTAGCTTGTACATTGAACTTAGACACATAATAAATATGGATTGAAAAGAAAAGTGGCACCCAAAAGGTGAAGAAGATTGATGCACACCTTTCTGGCTGGTGCTTAATTTCCTCACGTACATCGCTTATCCTTGGCAACCCTTATTTTTTTGTTCTTGCTATGGAGGTTATAACAAGAGTTAGCCCTTACTACTGATTTAATATAACATTAAATCAATGGTTAACTAGTGTTGGTATATATATTATTATTTTTAATGAATCTTAAGCTGTTATAAAACAAATGTAACAAATTTACTTAAAATAAACCAAAGGAACATTTCACTCATGTTACAGGCAAATCAGGGGAGGGCATTTGTCATGAGTGTGCTATAATTAATTTTATTCTTCAACAGAAATTAACCTAGAAACAGTGATCTCAAAATCTCCAGGAACTTTACTTTCTGAAAACATTTTAAAGGACTGTCAATAGATAAGTTGCATATATCTGAAAATATAGCTATTATTTCAAAGGTAAAAAAATGCTGCAATGTCAAACAATGTCATGCAATGTCAATAACAACAAACACACCGTCTCACTTACACAAGGAACCTGAATTGATATTGTTATTGGAAATAATTTATTGTGCACGCAACCTACAGATTAGTCAGTTATCTGCTAGCAGATAAGTAACTAATCTGTAGGTTACACTGATTTCCAAAATTAGCAGTAGGCTCTTAGCCAATGAGAACACAGATAGTAAGTACAACGTATGATAATTCAAATTAATGTGCTGTAATTCTTTTGTTATTTAATAATGTGAAAATCAGCATGAGCTGTTTATCTGCAATCCCACACCTGAGTGTGTAATGACTGGATATGATTTCCAAACTGCCCCTGTGTCTCCTTTGTTTTCACCTCATGAAATGTTGATGAGTTTTAAGAAAGAGTTTTTGGAGGTCTGGGGAGTTTCTTCATTTGCATGCAGTGATGAATACATGTAGAACTTCGCAGACCTGATATCACTTGATTGATGATCAGGAATGAATCATAATCTTCTCTCTGAGCATGCATAACATGAAAATTTATATTAATATCTAACACCCAGTTGTAAACACCTTGGATGGTGGGCATGTGACTGTCATAATGAACACAATGTTTTAACCTGAAAGTTTCCTATTATTAGTGGCTGTCATGGCAACCAAATCCAAGGCCAACTCTATATTTCCCAATTGTTAGCCTGAGTAAACAGCTGACATTTCATGCTGCCACCACTGGCTTCTCTGTGAAATGACGTTGCGAAATGAATGCAGAAATTCCATACTGATCATGCAACACTACCCAGATCTGGTTTCCCACATGGCATGACCAATCAGAAGCACTACCCAGTTGTAGGAATTGGAGCGTCATCAGTATGGAATTTCTGCACTTGTTTGTCAGTTGTCATTTTGTGGGCAAACCAGTGGTGGCGTCGCGAAAGTTCGTTGTTTTCTCAGGCTACCCAATTGTCTCTTTATGCTTGGTTTGTTTGTTTTCCATCTCAGGCCACATGCCACCCTTTTTCCACTCCTTTCACATTTCTCCCAGTGATTTTCACCAGAAAGAAAAGAAAGAAAAATTCTCTTGAGGGAATCATGTGGTTTGAAATACAAATTAAAAATATCGATCACAAAAGGTCTCTTGAAGTTAGAGGTACTTGGAAAAGTCCCCAGGGTCTCATTTACTGATGCTGGAATGTCCTTGGTTTCACAAGCAAGCACTTGTTGATAGAGTGATTTTAGTATGACCTTGAAATGGAAATGCACAAACAAAACAGAAACAACAAACAAAGAGAAATAGAGCGAATTAATTGGTTTATTGAACGGATACAAATGCACTTGGCTTTTAATTGGTTAAGTTTTTTGCTCAATGAAATCTTGCTTTAAAACTGACTTACTGCTTAAGTTGTGCCTTTGCTTGCTATTATTAATAGAAAGAATAGGTCCAGTAGAGATCAGAATCATCACTTCTCTTGCATGTGCCTACAGGTTTTAAGCAGATGGGCAGTGGAAGAATGTCAAATTAAATACTGAATATCAGTGTTTGCCAAGTCATGAACTGGATCATTATTTCAGTGATTTCTGAGTGCAAGGTCAACAGAAAGCAAAAGCCTACAAATGCAGACTTAGTGTAACTTTTTTTGGCTCTTGGAAAGTAATGGTACCTAGATAAACACCCAATGCTTTTTCATCATGACTGTCTGTGCTTAAATCTTATACAGTGGTCTACTGCATAGTGCATATTGTCATCTCTTATCTGAGACAGAGTTTGATTATGTTGCTCAGTTTTATTACACCACTCCACAGGTAAACCTAAACACATTCCCGCCCCTCCCCCCAGAGCATCTAGTCATACAGTATCCAGAGAGTCATCTATAAAATACAGTCAGACCCTACAACGAGATTCTCCCAGAGGAGCAAAACGAGACATCAGTCAGCAGTACCACACACAAACACTTCCATTGCCATCATCAAAGCCAAAGCGATCATTAACAGACAGCCCAACACCTTTGTCATCGAGTAGTTCCTCTACTTCTGGAAGCCATGCTTCTGTCAAATATGAAGGTTTGTTCATATGATGTTTGGATTGTGTAGAAGGCAGTGTTTGGTCTGATTTGGAAAAGCTGGTTCTGATTCGTTTCTATGCAATCATTGTTGTTTTTGGTGGTCCAAGCCACCATTTGTTGGTGAATAAATCTTGAAAAATATACGGCGATGGCTACAAAATTGTTACTTAAAAAGTGAATTTGTGCTGCCTCAAAGTTTATCGCACTTATTCCATCTCGTACAATTGGTCAAATGTTGGTGAATTTTTCTGGAGCTGAATTCTAAAGGACTGTATCAAAAAGTTCAGGAAAAGAAAAGGAAAGTTGTTGTCTTGTGTTCCTGTCCTTGACAAAATGTGAAATTAGTACTGTTGTAGTATTAGTTTTCATCTCTGCATTCCTGTGTGCACAATAAGCAGTGAATTCACACGCAAAGTAGTTACGAAGCTCAGATTTTGTGATCATGAATTCTGATGTAAATGTCTTCAAAGTATCATTTTGTCCATTTAATGAAATTTCAACTGCACCAAATACAGAGAAGTTATCGTAAAAATTCACTGGTCTTTATGCATGCAGGAATGGAGATTTGAATTTGACACTAGCTGCAGCAACAGTGAAAGGATTCAACTTTTGAACAATAAAATTAATTCATTAATGGAATCCTGGAGAGTATGCTTGACCAGGCGTGACTATAAAATCCTATGGATATCAATTGTACATTGAATCAATACCAGCAGTTGCTACTTGCATATGTAGTCATTATTTTTGTCCCAGAACAACTAACAATAATCATATATTACGCTTTATTTTGTTGAAGGTAACATGAAAGAGAGAAAGACGCTTGAGATCCGAGCATCCACACTGCGTGGGGAAATGAGGAAGTTAAGAGCTGAACTTAACCAACTAAAGCAGTTTCAGACCTTTCAAGCAGAGCAATTTGGAGAGATGATCAGAAATGCTAAAGAGCAAATAGTGCATCACTTGACACGAACACAAAATGGTAAGAAGAGTAGCTTGTACATTGAACTTAGACACATAATAAATATGGATTGAAAAGAAAAGTGGCACCCAAAAGGTGAAGAAGATTGATGCACACCTTTCTGGCTGGTGCTTAATTTCCTCACGTACATCGCTTATCCTTGGCAACCCTTATTTTTTTGTTCTTGCTATGGAGGTTATAACAAGAGTTAGCCCTTACTACTGATTTAATATAACATTAAATCAATGGTTAACTAGTGTTGGTATATATATTATTATTTTTAATGAATCTTAAGCTGTTATAAAACAAATGTAACAAATTTACTTAAAATAAACCAAAGGAACATTTCACTCATGTTACAGGCAAATCAGGGGAGGGCATTTGTCATGAGTGTGCTATAATTTATTCTTCAACAGAAATTAACCTAGAAACAGTGATCTCAAAATCTCCTGGAACTTTACTTTCTGAAAACATTTTAAAGGACTGTCAATAGATAAGTTACATATATCTGAAAATATAGCTATTATTTCAAAGGTAAAAAAAATGCTGTAGTGTCAAACAATGTCATGCAATGTCAATAACAACAAACACACCGTCTCACTTGCACAAGGAACCTGAATTGATATTGTTATTGGAAATTATTTATTGTGCACGCAACCTACAGATTAGTCAGTTATCTGCTAGCAGATAAGTAACTTATCTGTAGGTTACACTGATTTCCAAAATTAGCTGTAGGCTCTTAGCCAATGAGAACACAGATAGTAAGTACAACAAATGATAATTCAAATTAATGTGCTGTAATTCTTTTGTTATTTAATAATGTGAAAATGAGCATGAGCTGTTTCTCTGCAATCCCACACCTGAGTGTGTAATGACTGGATATGATTTCCAAACTGCCGCTGTGTCTCCTTTGTTTTCACCTCATGAAATGTTGATGAGTTTTAAGAAAGAGTTTTTGGAGGTCTGGGGAGTTTCTTCATTTGCATGCAGTGATGAATACATGTAGAACTTCGCAGACCTGATATCACTTGATTGATGATCAGGAATGAATCATAATCTTCTCTCTGAGCATGCATAACATGAAAATTTATATTAATATCTAACACCCAGTTGTAAACGCCTTGGATGGTGGGCATGTGACTGTCATAATGAACACAATGTTTTAACCTGAAAGTTTCCTATTATTAGTGGCTGTCATGGCAGCCAAATCCAAGGCCAACTCTATATTTCCCAATTGTTAGCCTGAGTAAACAGCTGACATTTCATGCTGCCACCACTGGCTTCTCTGTGAAATGACGTTGCGAAATGAATGCAGAAATTCCATACTGATCATGCAACACTACCCAGATCTGGTTTCCCACATGGCATGACCAATCAGAAGCACTACCCAGTTGTAGGAATTGGAGCGTCATCAGTATGGAATTTCTGCACTTGTTTGTCAGTTGTCATTTTGTGGGCAAACCAGTGGTGGCGTCGCGAAAGTCCGTTGTTTTCTCAGGCTACCCAATTGTCTCTTTATGCTTGGTTTGTTTGTTTTCCATCTCAGGCCACATGCCACCCTTTTTCCACTCCTTTCACATTTCTCCCAGTGATTTTCACCAGAAAGAAAAGAAAGAAAAATTCTCTTGAGGGAATCATGTGGTTTGAAATACAAATTAAAAATATCGATCACAAAAGGTCTCTTGAAGTTAGAGGTACTTGGAAAAGTCCCCAGGGTCTCATTTACTGATGCTGGAATGTCCTTGGTTTCACAAGCAAGCACTTGTTGATAGAGTGATTTTAGTATGACCTTGAAATGGAAATGCACAAACAAAACAGAAACAACAAACAAAGAGAAATAGAGCGAATTAATTGGTTTATTGAACGGATACAAATGCACTTGGCTTTTAATTGGTTAAGGGATCGCTTGGGTGGAAAACTTCATGCCCGAGAACTTTCTAGAAATCAACCAATACTTTGCTTTGACATCATACGGCAACATGATTGGCCAATTGAGCAATGACTTGTCCATGTTAGGGTTTTCTTTGGTGGGAAAACGCAGACGGCATGTTTTGATCCTTTCATCAATTGGCTAATAAAACAAATAACAAAACTTTAGAGCGGTTTTCACTTGACTGTCATAAAACCAAAACCAAAGTAAATACACTAGCCAACCAAAGGACGTAGTAAAACCAAAACCAAAACCAAAACCAATCCCAATTCGACAGTCAAGTGAAAACCACTCTAATACCAAAACCTTTTTCCAAGGTCGTTCAAAAATTGCTCTAACTGTTGTACATTCAAACTTGTATTAACCAGTCACCCTTGGGGAATGGCTTACTGACCCCTTAATAGAGGTTTGACATACCTACATATGTAAGGGTATTTAAGGAAATGGAGATCTGAGGTGAAAGAGGGAGATATCTATCCAACACCTTTTTGGCCTTGACCTGTTTCTATCTCCACGTGTACCAAAAGAAAAACAGTAAATGACCACTAAACGCCTTGCAAAGTCTTTCTGTTGCACTAGTATGGTACATCTTGTTGAAGTGACCGCTTAGTACAGGTGAAGACACCAAGAAATAACTCTTTGGGGCCTCAGAAAAGGTGACCATGACCTCCTAATAGAGGGTGACTGCTTAATACAGGTTTGACTGTAATATTTTACTTGTAGGTCCTTCTGCAAAATCAGTGAAAGAGAAGGTACAGATGGAGGAGATGGCTTATGTAAAAACCAAGAATGATATTAACAGACATATAAGGTATGACACTGGAAAATAACACTGCTGCTGCCTGGGTTAAACTATGCAAACTGCAACTTTCTTGTATCATTCATGGTAGCTGAAAGTTTGTGTTTGTTTACACATCAGTTCTCTGTTTATGATTTGCATGATTGATTTTCATACAGGTGTATTTATTATTAAAAATTTGTGAATGAAAAATTATGTATCAGCCAACATGCTTGAATTAAGACTGTGATCTAAGCAAAAGTTGAATATCATCAATGTACATATGTTGCTGACATATAATTTAAAAACATACAGGGTAAGATAATATTATTTAGCAACATAGCCCAACAAAAATATCCTCAGAGATTTTGCTTATTGTGCAGGAAAAACTATGGAATGCAAGATAAAAAGCTTCTCGATTAAAGAACGAACTATGATAAGGATGGAGATTTTATTTGTGCTGCATTTGTGTTACCATGAGTTGTGCAAGACATTTAAACTTGTATCAATACCTATGAAAGTATCAGTTGATCATGAGTTAAAAAGAATTACCAGCAAGAGTTAGATATTTTAATTTTTAAGATTATTCAAAATGTCCTGTCACTTTTTCACCTGGACATCAGTATCACTGGCACTGGGCCTGCTCATAAACTTAAATTTCTAATTTTTATTTCCAGTGAGCTGGAGAGTGAAGTAGAGATGGTTCGTCTGGATGTTGTACAGAAAAGATGTATTGCCAATCCTGCAGAGGTTGACAGTCTTAACAGCCAGCTGTCAATCATAAGCCGTCAAGTGTCTGATCTCAAGGGTAAGTTCAAACTTCATTATTGCCATTCATCTGTACCATAAGCTAAATTACACACTCTAAAGGGATTGAAAAGGTAACATCTTAGATGATAAGTTGCTATTATGCATTGGTGGCCATGTGTGTTCAAGGTAAGGTGTCTGGCCCTAAGTTCTTAGTTTTGGTCCATAAAAAATGAACAAGGTCAATATTCAGCCATCTTGACCAAACACCTTTTTTATACGGGATTTATTATACGGCCCAAAAGAATGTTTTTTTTTTATGGGAACAAAATGGAAAATTCCAAGTGGACAAGATGGGCATATCTTGCCAGCTTGCATAGTCCTTGGTTAGCCACTTAGAAAACAGAATTTGCTTCCTTGCAACCATGTAATGATAATGAATGTTGCTCTTTTAGTTTACTACCATGCCAAGATCATGGATGTCTGCTTTTGGCACAGTGTGTGCAGGCCAACATTTTCCAAGCCACTTTTGATTGTAGCAGGGTTCATACAGAGTCTTGAAATTTGCCCAGACCTGGAAAAAGTCTAGAAAATAGCGGTAAAGTCTTGGAAAATGGTAAAAAAGTCTTGAGGGTTTTTTTTTTGAAGCTGCAACAAGTGCTTTATAAGTGAAGATTTTTTTTGCTTTGGTCCAATCTTATTTCATCTCACCCGTACGTTTGCAGCACTTCATGAAAAAAACTTTGTTCCTGTGCTTTTAAGGTTTCAGTTGATTACCTATTAATTTGATAACCTTGGGTCTGGACAAAGAAATTATTGATTTGGAAAAAAGTTTGGAAAAAGTCTAGAATTTTGGATCCAAAAATCTGTACGAACCCTGTTGTATCCTGTCAGGCCATTTTGGTTGTAGTTTTTATATCCTGAAATACTCAAGTTAAACTTATTTTAATTGCCTTTTTCAGGTGAGTTTGCGGAACTGCATGATAGAATGAAGTCAAACATGGCATCAGAATTGGAGATCATAGTTCAGGGAGACAAGTGAGTGTTCACTGAAATAAAATAATGTGATCAACATGAATTTTCTCCTGCCAATATTAAAACAATATCAAGAGAAAAGGTTATTAAAACTATTTAAATGATCCACCTGGGGGAAAATTCTTTGATCTTTTGTCAAATTCTCTCAACTAATTCTTTAAAGAAATTTATGGATAACGGGCTGGAGAATTTGTTTGCAGATATTGGAGCTTCCAAAAAAAAAACAACCTCAAAAAATCCACATAATTAATGTTTCTTTCTTTAGAATTTACATCAGAAGACACTTAATTTTTTTTAGAACTCTGAGGTAAAACAGTATATCTGCTATCTCTCTTCAGATTTCTGAAAGAAGAACCAAACAAACTGGAGAACTTAGTTAGCAGATGTAAGCATATCACAGGGACACTGTTTACATTACAAAAGTAAGTTGTTACTGTTTTAGCAGTCTGAATGTGCAGGAAAGAAGAATCATGAATCCTACGATTAAAGTGGTTTTTCAAATTTCCCAGGCTGATTGTGGCAGACCATTTCAGGCCTTTACTGAATTCATTCCAGAACATAGCCTTGGTATAGAACCGTGGTGTTGACAATCACGATAAATAAAAGTCCTTGCAATACTTTGAGGGGCATTTTTGTGTACGCAGAACATCGAATCATTGAATTTGGTCAGCTCTAGCTGGATATGAAAATTTAAAGAATGATCTACCTGGACGCTAATTAGCAAATTACAAAGTAAGGTCGAAAATGAAACGAAATTAAACCCCTGGATAGTGAGTTAACCGTCCAACCCCCCCTACCCTCTGGAATTTCCGGGGCCTCTGACCCCCAACCCCACGGAATTTCCAATTCCCTCCGTGGTGGGGTATGGATATCTCCTAGAATTACACAGAAAATTGAATCAAGCCTGGATTAAGCCAGACAGAAACGGAGAAGTATTTTGAATGAATAATTGGGATGATCTGATTTATTTTTCAATCTTCAGATTAGTAACTGCTCAACAACAAATGAAGAGTGAAAGTGAAGCATCATTCAGCTCTTTAGAGGTTTGTTGTTGTTTTTTTTTCTTCGCATTTTTGAGGCCATTTCCGAGTTTCCCCTAGCCTGAGATCATGCCGTATCTCTATCATCCCTATATATGTCTCTCACGCCCAGGTTAAGTTTTCCCAAGCCTCTACTAAGTGCGAAACCATTGGTATGAAAAGTTTTTTTCTTCTGGTGTAAATGAAACTCATTATCACAAGAAAGGTTTCGCACTTAGCCTCGTTTTGAAAGTGAGAGTTTTTGGAACTCGGGAATGGCCTATACCACCATTCAGTTCAGTTCAGTTCAGTTTATTCACACTTGTATACAATATTTACACTGTATATAGTAACGTAGAAGTAAAATAACAAGCAACAGAGAAAAAAAAAAGAAAAGAAAGATATTAATGGCTTTGGTAGAAGTATACAGTGGTCAGAGGCGCTTAGCTTTCGAGCTATAAAACACCGCTGCATCATGCATAGAAATACTTAATATGTGCTCCAGGTGCCATGGCAAATATGGACGATTATGTGAAACAGTCATTTATATGTAGTTAACTTTGACAGTTAAGCAGAATTCGTCTGTATTGTTCTTTGAACTGGTAGTTGCCGAGTGTTTTCAGAAAGAAGATAAAACAGGCAGCTTTTCCATTTCCATTTCCAAAATTTGTAGCAGAAAATAAAATACTAGTCAATGGATTAATTTACGCTAGTGTTTTTGGTCATTATTTTGTGAGTCCTTGATCAATTATCACTAACAACAAGCTGCTTTTTGTTATTATTGTCTCCTGATAATTCCTATTTGTTTCTTTGTGTGTTTGTTCTTTCTTACAGGATGTTGACAAAGAAGTTATTGACAGTATAAGATCAGTACAAAGAGACTACATTACACAAAGGGGTTTAGAACATCATACAGAGGTACAGTTTATGACAAGCTGGCTTTATTACAAAGTCCCAAAGAGGCTTATGTTAAAGAGCCGGGCTATATCACTTACTAGTTTAGTGTTAGACAGGTTCAGCATCGCGTTTACGTCAAACGGCAAACGCAAATTTGTACCACGTGTCCAAGTTTCCCCTTTACCTGTACGTCGTTTACTGTTCATAATTATTTTCTACACATAAATGCTGGAGTAGTTTCACGGAGTTTCTTATCCATAATAATTGTTTTGAGCTGCTCATTTTCTATTTTGAGAAATTCTCAACTTGAATCTGACGTTTGCCGTTTGCCGTTTACGTGAAGCTTTTAAAACTCTCTATTTTCATAACTCAACAGGAGCCATAGGAACATAGCCTCCAGAAAAGGCGTTATGTTTGGGCGTGGAGCGCGAGAAACTGGCCTTCTTTAATCGCGCGTGTCTCGCGTTATACGTCCGCCATGCGCTTGTCTTCGCTCGCCTGGAAGACTCGTTCAGATAGTGGCTGTTCTGCAGGCTGGCTTTTCTAAGAAACTTTGTTGGAAATGGGCGCTTAGAACTTTCAGTGTTGTGGAAAGCACAAATAGTCAACAACTTTCTATTGACTACATTCTAACAGAAGTGTCGTCAAGTGTTCAAAACTTCGCAGCGAAATCTTGATCTCGCCTGTGGATCTACCTGAATATTTCGACGCCATTTCTATGGTATCATACGAGTGTAGACAGTAAAAATGTTTTGATTTGCTAAACCTTTTAACAGGGTAGAAAATCTTCTTTTAGGCCTGTGTGCATTTCTCAATCGACCTCTTTAGCTTGTCTCTTTTGTTTTCACAATGAAGGTGTCAGGGAATTTGCCCCTTTGTCTTTTCATAAATTATGCGTATACGAGAACAGAGAGGAGATGTCGTTACGTCATGTTGCCATGGTAGCAAGCTTAAATATCTGGATCTCAAAAACGGTAGTCCTGCAAGTATGGTAGCCATAAACTGAACTCTTCTTTCATTGTTTGACAGTGCAAATGACCTTCTCTGTCAAGAAAGATTGTTGACTAAAAATCCAGAAATTTTGCTACCATCGTAACGTGACGTCACACTTCTCCTTTCTATAATACGAATTTTGTATGAAACAGTTCTCTGTCTAGTGTTATTAGTGTTATTAGTTCTCTGTCTAGTGTTATTACTATCCAAAGTGAATCATTGGATAATGCAATTCTAGAGCTCTGGTAAAGTCGGGAAGAATTCTCGATATTTTGTGGGCGTTTTTAATAAAACAATTATTCCACTCGCACTTGTTGGATATGAGATGATCATGGCCAACTCATATCCAACGCGCACTCGTGGAATGTTTGTTAATTAGCTAAATAGGTCTATCCTAACTATCACATGACCTACATTTGGAAAACAAAACGTACAAGCTAAACAGGTCGACCCTAACTGTCTTATTGCTCTATTTGTATCCTTACATATTTCACCTTCTCTACTTTGTACTTAGTCTGCTACACAGCCGTTTTTAGTGTCGTCACGCAACGCTCCTCCCCTCTAAAACTGTTAGTGGGGAGGAGCGTGGCGTGACGACACTAAAAACGGCTGTGTAGCAGACTACTTTGAAATGAAAGTGGCATGAATGAATCACGCATGCTATTTATTGATGCATTTTTTTTCTATTATATTTTCAAAGGAACCGAAATTACCAGTAAGAGGACGTCATAAGGTTCGTTTCTACGATGAAGTCACACAGTTACCATGAATCACTAACGATACAGAGTTTTAGTGCTGCAACTCTGAAGATGTGCCGTCCGTTCAAGCTGTGGGCAAGTGGTATTGTGACAGAACTCCCTGCAAAATGGGAAGGATCGCCTTGAGCTCAGTGTTCCGGCCTAATTGAAATCTCTAGGCAAAAGTTAGGGATCTAAATTATTTGCTTTTAGGGATGTCTTCCTTTAAGTTATCCGTTTTTGAAATTCTAAGGTTATGTTTTACGCTTTCTTCAAACTAAGTACTGTATACCATTTCTCATCGGTTATCTTTTCAAATGCAAATTTTCCAGACTTTTGGGCTAAATTTTCAACCCCCTTTCCTTTAATTAAAAATTTAGCCTTAAGAAGTCTTTCACGGACTTAAAAACCATCAAGGTTTGAATTTTGTAAAAATGGAGTCTTCTCCAAGTTCAGGATGGAAAACAGTGTTTTTCAGATATTTTTAACAATGATGCCTTCAAAAAACTCAGTCAGAATGTGTTTTTTAATTGACGACCTTTGTCAAATTATTTTGAAGAGCGGATGATCTTC